TATAAAACACTTTAATTTGCCACCACTTAATACAAATAGTAAGATCCTGCACATGCATGTCTGACAACAAAAGTTATGATACCATTAACACTTTAGCTAACCATGCTTAAGGAAATTCTTCTTGGCAACTGAGACATCCCCCCTCCCCAGTGATATGCAAAATTGTTGTTTCTTATACTCTGTGTTGCAGTTGCACTTAGAGAGGAAATTTGATAGGTTTTGAGGTTGAACATTTATATGTAAAATTTCTGATTATGCTTATTGAATATTTTGCTCTTTAAAAATTTGTATTACTGTCACTAATTGTATTCTATAATTCCAGAAAGGAGAATGGCAAGTGTTAAGATCCCTGAACAGAAAATAATACTGTGTGGAGAATATGGTGTAGGAAAAAGCTCCCTCTTCCGACGGTATGCAACGAACACATTTGTCACAGCAACTGACAGAAAGTCTACTTTAGGTCTAGATCACTATGAAAAAGTTTACCGCACTGGAGATAGGGAAGTTAAGGTTGGTTACATTTTTGTTTTGAAGTGTTTAGATGTTCTTAACTTGTGTATTGCATCCTCCATGATGAAACAGTAGATTTTCCTTGTTGTTTGTAGTGCTATTTGTTTCTTTTCTTGCTGCTCTATAATTTGTATTTAATAAGACAGGGACAAGGTTACTAGATCAAAAAGTAGATGCAGACAGAAGTAAGCAAAAAGTTGGTGTAACAGAAACAGATATAGACAAAAACTTGAAAGATACTCCAACCAGTAATACATGAGAACCTTTCTTCAAGGTAGTGTAGTGTTGTTTTAGGTTATGGCTCTCTAGAATTTTTCGACTTTGTGGTCTTTAATTATCTTTGACATTTTTCATCCAAATCACATGAAAAGTCACCAGAAATCCCAACAAATTATGTATTTACACAAAGTTTTATAGGCATAGATGTGATTGTTATAATTTGTCATCCCAAATTGAGGGTCCTAAAACATGATATGTTAGGATGTTTTCTTGGGTCAAGTGGGTTCAGGGGAGACTGACATCTAGATGATAGGAGATTTATGAAAAAATATTTTTTTCAATTTAAGACTTATGTAACTTTTGAATATCTTTACTTACTATTAATATGAAAGCTCAGTCTTAAGATGTCATTCACAAAGATTATCAATGAAAGATTGCAGATACTAAAATAAGGACTGAAGAGATACAAACTTTTAGATATGAATAGTTAAATGATGTACAATCAAGTCTATGAAGGAATTCAAAATTTGAACACTGTTGTACTTTTTTGAAGGCATAAAAATAAGTATCACTCGCGCATAGTATGAAGACTCCTTGCTTCTTTTTTGCAATGCTATTTGTACTTTTTCTTCAGACACATTTTTGCTCTTTTGCCATTTTCTGGTGTCTATATTTGTCATCTGATATGCTGTAAAAACATGGTAGTAGACTGTTTTCATTAAGCAGACCCCATATGATCTCTCCAGGTAGATTACAATCTTTGCAGTAATGGTAACAATAACTAATATTGTGTTATTTGTGTTATTTCTTATATTTTTGTATTCAGTCTTCCATACCTTACCCTTCGCAGCTTTTTTCGCTATTTTCTCTTTTTTTGCCTAATTGGTTTTAGTTTTTAAAAATTTCTCCAATATCTATATTTGTCATTTGATTTGCTATATCCAGTTGGTAATAGACTATTTTCCTTGCACAGACTCCATACATAGTCTGTAACTGTAGTAATGATGACAATAAGTAACATTTTGTTATATGTATCATTTAAATTGTTTTTTATGTAATATTCGGTTGTCTGTCATATAACCTGCACTGCTTATCACGGCAGCCAGAAATAGGATCCTGAGCATGGAAGTAACGTTCTCCCTGGAGCTGGCACTCTTCCAATCATGGCTCAGTGATGATACTTTCCACACTTGTTTATCAATGGAAATAATGCAAAAGCCCATTTCTAAATGCTAAATGAGGCTAATCAGCCTCCAGGAGGCTTGTGCACTCTTGGCAAGTCATTCCTGTCATCCCAGCCTTTAGCCACAATCAGCCTGATGGCAAATTTGTGTCACCACAGCCCACAGCCAAATTTTCTCATAACGGCATTTTCATATCACCTGCCCCTCAAACCAACTTGTTACATGACTTAATGACACTGCCATGCTTCCTCATCTTTGCACTGTTGCTGCCACAATTTGAAAAGGCCTCAATTATAGGGAATCTTAGCAACAACACTTCATTAAAGAAGGAGATTTTGTTAATTTTCAAGAGCACTACAGGCAACATACTCAGGGCTTGAAAAGTTCTAATGCCTTACTTCCCTCTGCGAACACATAGCTTCTTTTTCCAGAGTCTTCATTAGTTGCCGAATAAGATCTGATGATGCTCTATGAACATTTGTTGATGGAATTGGAGAAGCATGCTGAATGTAGAAGTGGGTATAGCAACAGTGGAGGGACAAGGGAGAGGAGATGAGGTGGCAGGCAGAGGGCAGAAGAGGCAAAGGGTTGGCCAGGGGATTGAAAGTGTGTATTCACTTATTAATTATTCCCAGTTGGCAAATAAAATCACTGACTTGCATTTGCTCTCTCCCCTTTCTGTGATTACCTTTACCGACTGGAGAGCACTCCTCAAGGTCATATTTCTGATGAGTCTTGAGCAAGTGGATGCCTGGGGGCCTTCACCCCACTCCCCCCACAATACCATGGTTCCCATGACTTCTGAGGATGTGGATGCAAATAAAATCACTGACTTGCATTTGCTCTCTCCCCTTTCTGTGATTACCTTTACCGACTGGAGAGCACTCCTCAAGGTCATATTTCTGATGACTCTTGAGCAAGTGGATGCCTGGGGGCCTTCACCCCACTCCCCCCACAATGCCATGGTTCCCATGACTTCTGAGGATGTGGATGCTCATGGGTCCTTTTCCCAGCTCCACCCACATGTCATATTTCCCATGACTTCTGAGCATGTGGACATCCACAGGTCCCTCTCTCCACTTTCTCCACAGACCATCCTGAACAGGATGGTCCATGAGGTCTGAAGTGATGAAGTAAAAATAAATATTGAAGGGCATTGAATACTTACAATCAGAACTTTAGGTGGTCAAGGACTTTCATTCCCACACTTTTGCATTAGTGGCAGATGGGTGTACTGGAGTCGACTTACAATGATATCTGCAACATGTAATGATATCTGAGTTGCTGTCCTTATCACTGCTGATCTAAGCAGGGCTTCCTTTTTCAACCTGCTGAGGCAGTTGGCACTGATGACCTAGGGAAGGAGGCAGTGCTGATGACATGGAAAGTCTGATTGAAAGTACCTGATGAGAAAGCTGAAATTAAATCTCTGCCTTCAAATAAGTAAAGAACTGTATAAAACCTGTAGGCACATAACAGTTGCAGAGGAAATAACAATTGTTTATAAAGATTAAGTACATGCAATGTTTGTAAAATGAAAAAGTGATCTTATTGAGGAAGGAGAAGCAGAGGGATGCCAGGGCAAGAGACAGGACAAGGGGTATCTTTGTTGGGACTTATCTTGAAAAAGTGATAATGCAGACTGAATTGACTATCCACATGACACAAAATACTCACAAAAATTGACCTAATTATGTCATGACCTGTGGTCATATTGTTATTACTGAATTGACCTCTACAATCGAATGAGAGAAGGACCTTGCTTTTTCTTAGATTTTTTGCTGGCATTATCATCTGTGCACCTGATTTGCAAGTAGGGTAATTAGAAGAGTAATTAGTGAGATGACTGCTTTCATTATTAGTAGCTTATTTTTACTAAAAGTGAAACAAAGGGTACAGAACAAAATGCTTTTGTGGCCCCATCAAGGATGTTATGAACTTCCTGTGGCCCACCTGGGTGCCACAAGTTAAGCAAGAGATTAATGTTTGTGTGTGGATACACATGTGTAGGCCTTCTTGTGTGGACAGGTATTCTTTGTGTGCCCACTCTTGATTAGATAAATGATTATTTATCATTTATCCATTCCAGCAAATGTGACTAGGATTTTTTTCATGTGAAAACTCAAACTAGTATTTCTTATCAGAGATTTTGTTATAAGTGTTTGTTAAACATTAGCAGTATTTTTTAATTTGGTTTGTTTGCCTTACTAGTGTGTACCTTTTAGTTTAGTAGAAATGGATTACTTGGATAAAAGACCTCTGAAACAATAATAATTACAATTTTGTTATTCACTCTATATTTTCATTAATTAATGAACAAAAAATTGGGAAAATGCTGTGCCTATTATCTATATTTTTTTGTGAAATGTTTGCCCATAGATGGCTCTGTTAGTGCCTGATTTGAAATGGCAGGAAAAACGTATTTTTCACTAGTGTCATGAATATCAATGGTGTTATTTATATTATAAACATTATATTTATTATGATGTTTTTTAACATTAGTTATAGCAAAACAAGATAACGTAAAATATTTCGTACATCAAAGAAAAGGGTGAACGGGCGAGACAGGCGGTACTCGTAACTGGCTCATTGGTGATTTAGTACAAGTGTAGCCATCTATGTGTGAAAACAATCTAACAAGTAATCTCACAGTGGGCATGGCATGGCATGCCCGGTGGGAATGGGTTAAGTATGCTCTCACACTGCTTTGTCAAGGATATGTTTACATACATGCTGAAGTTTCCATGATGTTTTCAGTCCTCATAAAGTGTTCAAAGATCAGTAGTTGAATAGAAGAAAATGTTATTGTAGCTGGTATATATCCATGTTTTCATGATTTGCAAAATATACACATACTGCAATCCTGCTTAAATGTACATAAATTAATGAATAATATTTCCCTCCAAGATTGATTAACACATCAGGTCAGCTAATACCAAATGTTTATATTTTGTTTATTTACTTTTAGATTATAGGATACTTACAGAGTAGCTGCAGATTGACTACCTAATAAAGATAACTTTTGTAGTTGAAAGAAAATATTACCAATATATAGAAATAGGCATGTTAAAGTTCTTAGTAATACAGTGAGCCCAGTAATGATAGACAAAATTTCCTGGCAAGAATGGTTGGACATCACTCCCAGCATAGACAATTTATGATCGAGTGCAAGAGACCTTATCCAAGCAGTTGGGACTTGGGTTCATGATGTGATGTGGCATCACCTGGTATCTGGTAATATTTACCATGAAGTGATAGGACATCACCCATTGTTAATATGTTAAGTCAAATGAGCAATCAGTTGCCTGCAGATTATTTCCATATTCCATTATAGAGTGGAGATGTTATTGTTGACCAATTAGCAGTAGATAATAATAGGCAAGTTTGAGTTCCATGACTTCCATTGTTTTGTTGTAAAGTTCCATTCCTATGCTATTTTCTGTCCCTTTGAAAATGAGCACAGAAACAACCATTTAGAATAATTTTAAAAGGGGAGTCAGATTATTGGCTCTTTACTTTTATGCCTGTTCCATTTTTATTTGTTTAGATATTTTGGATCTCCCTCATATGCACATATGTCATAGCAGCAAATCTGCACTCTGCTTCCCATGTTAGGGAAAGTGAAGCCAATAGGTCACTTACCAAATGATTATTGGCCAATGAGTCTTAATCTATTTTATGCATGAGAGGGAGGGAGGGAGACAGAGACTCAGACCCAGACTCAGACTCAGACTCAGACTGACACAGAGACTGAGACTGAGATTGACACAGAGACAGAGACAGGGACAGAGACGGAAACAGACAAAGAGAGTATATAAGAGAAATAGAGGCAGAGATAGAGGTAAATAAAAAGCTTGAATTTGTGTAAGCGGACAAAAACAAAGAATTGTATATCAGAAGAAATTGAAAATGAGAATTCTCATTCTGGAAGATTAATTTTCATTAATGTGATTATCTTCATCATGAATTTATTTAACAAGTATATTCCTTTTCAGCTCCAACTATGGGACACAGGCGGCATGGAGAGAGTAGCAAGTATAACATCTTCTTACTACAAGTTTGCAGAGGGAGCTATTCTTGTCTTTGCTCTGGATAACCCCGACTCCTTCAACATCCTGTCTCAGCATCTCTTAGATATTGTAACATATGCTGAGAATGCAAAGATATTCCTCTGTGGAAACAAGTATGATCTAAAGAGTCAAATCCAAGTCACAGATGCAGATATGGAGAACTTTTGGTTAGTATTAATTAATTACTTGACTTTAGGGTGTAGGTGGCAACTTATTCATTTATACAAGAGCTTAGCCACTAAGGATTCAGTTATTAGGTTCGCCATACCTTACCTATTTAACCCCCCTCTTTCAGTTTTTTTAGATTAAAATTTTCATTATTATTGTTATTGTTGATGCAGCTGCACCATCAGCACCATCACCACCACCACCATAACAAAATAATGATAATAATATTAGTAGATGTGAAGTTAATAGAAAAATGATAATGAAAATAGTAATGATGAAAATAGCAATAATGAAAATAATGTTAATAAGATTGATGATAATATAGATAATGATAGTGAAAATATGAGTAATAAAGGTATTATTAGAAATAAAAATAAAAATAAGACAAATAAAAGATTAAATTTAGAGATAGTGTAAGTTTCCAAGATAGTGGAAAGGGATGCAAAGTAAGTTGTGAAATCAGAGTGAGATATGATAGTTTCAAAGGGAATAGTAAATAGTATAAGTTATTAAAAACAGGATACTCAGATGTGAGAAGTGAGTCCCGAGTCATTATACTATTTGTCAGTATCACTGATTCAGTTATATTTTTCATCATAGGGGAAGTATGCTAGTACATAATTAATGTAAACTACAGGAGTTAATGCTGCTTTTTAATCTACAGTGAACAGTGTCACAATCTCATATCTGGCATCTTCAAGACTTCTTGTAAAACTGGTGCAGGTGTGGAAGAAATGTTTGCTGAAATAGCAAGACAACTAAGTGACTCCAACCGGTCCCGGAAGGAGTTGGAGACAATGAACAAAGATTCCTTCAAAGTGACACCACCAGAAGGGGAACCAGAGGAATCGTGTTTATGTTGAGGTGAGTGGCAAGTAAGGAACAACCTTTGTTGAAATTGATGTGAAACTGAAACTAGTTTGTAATGTTAATGTGTAATTGAAACACTGAGTCACATGTTTGATTGTTACTGTATTCTCTTAATTCAGAGAAAATTATTGATTTAAAGTGTAGCCTCTTGAATCTGGGTGCTTTGCTGCCAGCACATGGGACAGCATGGGTGCACATGAACACTTATGTGTGGTGACAAGACTCCATGCCTCACCTTTGCAGTGTTATTTTCTCTTATTTATAATCGTTTTTAGCTTTTTTGCCATTCTCCAATGATCTGTATTTGCCATTTGATTTACATTATGCAAATGGTAATAGACTGTTTTCATAGCACAGACTCCATATCATCTCTCTCAATAGGCCATAATAATAACATTAAATAATATTTTGTTATTTGTGCCATTTGATTATTTTTTCATAATATTCAATGGGTCATGGTGGGCAGAAATATGATCCTGACCATGGAAATAGTGTCCTCTCAGTCATTCCTCCCTACTGAAAATAATGTAAGTGCCCCTTCCTAAATAGCCACTAAGGCCAATCACATTCCAAGAACTTTGTGCCCTCGTGACACTTCAATCCTGTCACTGGCCTTTAGCCAAAATTTACATGACAGCATTTTCCCATCACCCCTCCCCTAGGCCAGCTTTTTCCATGATGGCATGTTCATATCACCTGCTCCTCAAGCCAAATTTTTTCATGGTGTGATGGTCAAGTCATCTGGATCGTAGGGGTTAATGTAATGTTGTCATGGTTAGGATTTACAACCATATCACAAGAGATTTTAAGGGGCCTTAAAGTGTCCCCCTTAAAGTGTCCCACAGAATTCAACACTCATACTTTTGAAAGTCTGTAAAGGAGGAGTAGTGCTGCCTTGCAGCTGCCCTCAATTCCTTTTTTTAATGAGATGTCATACTTTCTGACAGAGCCAGAAATTTCTGCATCACTTATTCTGGTGACTATTGGCAATTATCCAGCCTTTTGGCCAGGGAGTTTGCTGTATATAGTGGAATTTCCTGATTGATTCAGTTTAGTGAGTTGTGATGCCTATAGCCGTCACAATGAGTTGGATTTTCATGATGGTCATAGGTGTGCACGGCTATAAGAGGTTAAGGGAAATGTCCCCGGAAAAACACAGATTTTAATTTTTTGTTGAAAAATTAATAACTAAATTTGACCAAAGGAATTGTAGGCCAATTGAAAAATCAATTTTTTAAGTAATGTTAACCCATTACTGATGGGTCATGTGTACAAATGTTATAACATACGACTTGGTCTGTGGGGTGTGGCTGTACATGTGGCAACACGCCAGAAATCACCAGAGTTTATAATGCTTAAAGATTTCTGATACCCGTTGCTGTCGGGTTAATTCTTGCAATCCCATGTTCAAAAGTTATCACTTTTCTATGTTACTTCTGTTGAGAAACCTCTAGATCATATGAATGTAACTACACTTTCAATTTTTAGAAATTAGGTTTTGTTTTAGAATTATTGCCAATAGCTTGAATTGCTTAAGTCTAAAGAAGTATAAATTCCAGCTTTACTGAGGACAAAATATTGAATGTCATGTAAGTGAGTTAGGTTCAGTTATGTTAGGTTTAGTATGGACGGTACTTGTTACAATTCATAATCCTAGAGTGAATTCCATGTAGAGTGGTCAGGTAGATTGGTTGATGGTTAGTCAGGTAATCAAAATCTATGTGTGAGCAGCCGATTAGCATGGCAAGTATAGGGAAGTAGTGATATTATAAAGAAACAACAATATGTGTGTATACACAGAATATGACAATATGCAGATAGTAATCAAGTAATTACTAATAGGTATAATATATAAAGGGGAAGAGTAGATGAGTTTATGAATTTGCTAACAATCAGCATGATTAAAATATACAGGGACAAGCGAATGCAACAACAGTTGAATAAATTGGCATGTAATTATTTACTATGAGAAAAAATAAAATATACTAAGCTGTGCAGTGTGTGGTCAAAAATGATGATAGAAAAAATATTAATTACACAGTATATCAGTTAAGGAATTATTGGGGCAGGGGAATGAGGTATGAGGTAAGGGTGTTTGTCACTTCTGATCACAGTGTGTGACTTCATTTGTTTGACAGGGAGAAGATATGAAATATAGAGTTAGGATTGTGTGTCTGTGAACCCCTTGGTGACAGATTAAGAAAAAAAAAAAAAAATCTCCATGCTCTGGCGATCAATGGCAGCGCGCTGACTTTGAGTGCGGGAGTTTGGTACATCAAGCCGAATCACCGGCTCGCTGCACTTTGATGCACCACTGCGGCGTACAGCCGCATGTCACATTTCGAGCGGTTTGTTTTCAAGCCTCACAGCGTAACCCGTCGGGAAGGGGTTAAGTAGCTTGTACTTTGAATTTGAAAGAAAGCAATTCGTATGTAAAGTGTGGGTGGTTATAAGGTTTATAAGGTTTAGTTTGATTCCATTTGTTACAATGGATATTCTTGGTGTGACATACTGTCTGTTTCATTTTGCTTCTAAGTTATCCCCTGTGTGCAAGAGATTTGAATGCAGGTCAGCAAGATTGCTAGAGGAGATTACTGTCAATGCACCACACAGCAGCAATAATTAGCCTCTTGATGATGGGTGGAGAAAATAAAAAAAAACTCTATGCTCTACAGATCAATGGCAATGCACTGACTTTGAGCATGGGAGTTTGGTACATCAAGCTGAATCACAGGCTTGTATCCCTTTGGCGCGCCGCCACAGTGTACAGCTGCACACCACAGATCGAGTGGTTTGTTTTGATGCCTCATGGCGTGACCCGTCGGGAAGGGGTTAATCTGGCACTAATAGGCACACTTACTTTTGATAGTGGCGAGGAAGTAATGGTAGTGCTGGGAAGAATTGTGACATCTGGCTGAGTTGATGAGGTAGGGATATTGGTGGGCCCCGTGTCCCCAGGGTCGAGGATGTGGTAATGAAACTGGACCCTGTGTGGCTTGGTCTGTCTGCTGAGTCTCTCTCCTCTCTGTCTGACAAGACGTGTCCTTTTATGTGGTGGCTCCCTTTGAGGATGGTTGTGTATTTATGTCATAGAAGTGTTAAAAAAGAAAGCAGGGCAAGACACTTGCATCCACCCACACCACACACTCACTTGGCCACATACATACAGACACACTGTTGTGCATTCACAGGCACACTTCATCACATGTACAGACAAACTCACGCAGATTTGATATAAGGAACACATGGTGACTGATGGCTTAACAATAACATATCACCAGGAGGACTCGATACCAAGTGTATTTTGTATGTAGACCTACTCAAACAGACATGTAGGCCTGTACCATTCAGATCTATTGACATAAGATATAGAATATTTTTTTTATACCATGTGATGGTTTTTCTTGTGGGCTTGTAGAAATGAGCAAGCTCATCTTTGTTCTTCATAGTCCTTCGTGGTTAGGAGGAAAAGCTTCCATCTTGCTGGTTTGGACTGTGGAAAGCATGGCCACAGGCCTCATGTCCATGCACTGAAGGGCGAGCATTCCTGTGGTTGTACTACAGAAGTCTACTTTTCCTTGCCTGCTGGTCTGTGGGGTTGTGCTTATGGTTTGTTCGTACTTTGCGCTTGTTTTTCTTTCCTGTATTATAGGAAAAGACTTGAGAACAAGTACAAGTTGCCCTTACATACTTCTACCACTGCCTTCATTCTTGTGGGGAGCTCCCTGTGGTTCTCCATAGGAAGGCAGTTGTGTACAACAAAGCTTGTACACCCTCAAGCCCCTGCATTCTTCCTTGCTGGGCATGTATTGGAGTGCAAGGTGGTGACCCTTGAAAGCCTAGAGGCTCTCTTCCACCGAAATTGTCTTGTTATGATGAAGATGATGGAAACTGCTAGCCTAAAATGTAGATGACTGGCCTCATCAGCAGGATGGCCAGCCTCGACTTTGGTGAAGTGCAGCACCAATGTGAGACCATCAAATTGATTGCATCTTAGGGAAGATTGTCAAGGATTATAGGGGGTTGGAAGACCAACAGTCCTGCATGTGATGCTTGGACTGTGATCTTATCAGGAATCCCAGGCCAAGGTATGCACAAAGCTCCCACAATATGGGATCCTCTCAACCCTTCCTGTGGGGGGAGGTTATCCTCAGGTGCTTGCAATATATCTGCAGGAGAACTGACCTTGTGAAAAATGTGTATTTGCATGAGACACTGTAAACAAATATTTTCAAACCAGCAAATGAATAACATGATTTGATGTGCTTACAGGTTTATCTCCTGAACAGTCTTTTCCAGAAGTTCTTCTTTCAGGAACTTTCAGGAACTTACTGAAGACCTCTTCTATCTGTGAAGCAGCAGCAAGGTCAAGAACCTTGACCCAAGGAGCTGCATCAAAGTCTAAACATTTGTTCTTCTTTTTTCCCCAAACAAAGGAGGTACTGAGGGCATTGTGATCCCAGCAGTGCCTGATATAGTTGGCGATAGTCTCATCAGAATTGATTGACGTGTCATGCAATGACATGAAGTCGCCATCTGATTCACAGTTGTCCTCTGAGTTGCTGTCCTCCCAGTCAGAATCATCACCAAGGGGGATGTGAGAATCTGTGAAAGAATGCAAAAAAACATGACTTTTCCATAATGATTGTAAAACTATGTAGAAGCATAAGTCAGTATGCAAAAGGATCCAGGTGGTGCATTTAACAGATCAAATTATGGGAGAAAACTCACTGGACTGATCCTCTATCCTGTGCTATTTTGTTGGTGGCGTGTACTCCTTTTCTGATTACACTCATTCCTCATCAGAAGAATGGTGAAACAAGTAAAGTTGAAGATCAGGTGTGCGCGCGCATGCGCACGCACACGCACACGCACACGCACGCATGCACACACACACACACACACACACACACACACACACACACACACACACACACACACACACACACACACACACACACACACACACACACACACACACACACACACACACATACACACACACACACACACACACACACACACACACACATATATATATATACACATATGACATCAGAAACAGTCCATTATGAAGGCATAGCTGTCACCAGCATGAACACCGAAGTGTCATGACACCTATATCTGTACTGTCATGATCAGTGGGTTTTCCATAACAGCTATAGGCATGCCTGTCTATATGAGGTTAACACAATGAATACTTGTCAATCCCATTGTAATATTAACCCCTATGATCAGGATAATGTGACCATCTTGTCATGAAAAAATTTGGCTTGAGTGACAGTTGACGTGAATATGCCGTCATGGGAAAAGTTGATCAGACTCAGTTGGCATTTTTTAACCCATTGCTGCTGGGGATGGCATGTACGTACATGCCATGCCCACTGTGAGTCGATTTGTTCAATTGTTTTTACACATAGATGGCTACACTTGTACTAAGTAACCAATGAGCCAATTACGAGAACTGCCTATCTCGCCT